TGGGTGCTCCGGAGCTGGAGCGCCCACGGGGGAAAATTGGTGGGTGCTCTGCACCCACCGGCAGCCAAGCTCACCGCCCCACCCCAGTTCACCTCTGCCTCCTCTCCGCTGAGCGCGCCGCATCCCTGCTTCTCCCCCTAGCTCCTAGCACTTGCCGCTGCGAAACAGCGGGGAGGAGTGGGAACGCGGCACGCTCGGGGAAGAGGTGGGGGCGGGGCTGGGGTGTGGATTTGGGGAAAGGGTCCAATAGGGGCAGAGAGGGGGCGGAGTTGGGGCGGGGACATTGGGGAAGGAGTTGGAATGGGGGCAGGGCAGGGGTGGAGTCGGGGCGGGGGGGGCGTCGAGCACCCACCGGTTCCGGGAAAAGTTGGCGCTTATGGCCTTGTGTGCACTGGCCCCCTGCCTATCCCAGTCTCTCGGCCACAGAAGAGCAGGAAGGGAACTGGTGGAAGCAGGCTGGAAGGAGCCTGGGGGCGAAGAGCGGACAGTGCCATGCCAGGCTGTTTGGGAAGGCACAGCCTTCCCTTGCCTATGCTACCTGCCACCCATGTCATCAGGGTGGTGAAGGGCACAGTTCAGTGGCTTGTGTAATGCAGAAGGTCAGACTAGATGATCATAACTAGATAAATTCATGAAGGTTAAGTCCATTAATGGTTATTAGCCAGGACGGGTAAGGAATGGTGTCCCTAGCCTCTGTTTGTCAGAGGGTGGAGATGGATGGCAGGAGAGAGATCACTTGATCATTACCTGTTAGGTTCACTTCCTCTGGGACACCTGGCACTGGCCACTGTTGGCAGACAGGATACTGGGCTGGGTGGACCTTTGGTTTGACCCAGTATGGCCGTTCTTATGTTCTTATATCCCTTCTGGCCTTAAAATCTCTATGAATCTTTGCTGTCATACAAGGCAGCTCAGGCTAAATAGGATGGAGTTTGGTGAGTTTTCAGAAGAGTTAAGACCATGCTGCAAATCCAGCATCATTCTCCTTCGTTCCAGACAGTGAGCTCTGTCCCTAATCCATGCCCTGTACCAAGGAAGCCACATGACTAAGGGTACGTCTATACTTACCCGCTGGTTCGGCGGCAAGCAATCGATCTTCTGGGATTGATTTATCGCGTCTTGTCTAGACGTGATAAATCGATCCCGGAAGTGCTCGCCGTCGACGCCGGTACTCCTGCTCCGCGAGAGGAGTAGGCGGAGTCGACGGGGGAGCCTGCCTGCCGCGTGTGGACCCGCGGTAAGTACCTTTAAGTTCGAACTAAGATACTTTGACTTCAGCTACGTTATTCACGTAGCTGAAGTTGCGTATCTTAGTTCGAACTCGGGGGCTTAGTGTGGACCAGCCCATAGCCATTAATTCCTTCCTTCTTGTCAATGGCATGTCTTATTAAGACTAACTGGAACTGGTTGCAATTTTTGTTTTCTTCTCCATGGAAAATGTTGACTTTTCATGGAAAAGTTTTCAGTTATTGAACAAAAACACAACATTTTTGAGCAAAGCAGAGACTTTCTGTGAACATTTTCATTTAGTTGAAAATCTGACTTTTCCATCGAAAAAAAAGTTTTGATGGAAAATCTTTGCCCACGCCTAACCCTGCCTCTGACCCCACAATGTCTTGGCTTGCCTGGTCTTGTGTTTGCTTTATTCATGAATCCCTTTCTTTTCTATCTTTGCAGTTTGTGCAGGTGAGTTGGGACGAACGCCCATAAACCGCGGTAAGTTTGTTATCATGTATGTAACCTGGAAAACACACATGGAGTTTTACAGTCAAATAAAAGACATGGGCCCAGATCCACAAAACGACTTAGGTGTTGTAATGCCTAGCTTCTGAGCACCTAGAAAATCACTGGAATGCATAAAGTCTGAGTTAGGTGTCTACGCTGCCTATACAATGAAGTGGAAAGAGAGGCACCTAAGAACGCGATCCATGAAAACCAGCATGCTAGGTGGTGCCCTGCCTATACTAGCCAATGGGAGGTGCTCATGAGAGGGGTGTGTCCTAAGCCCTGCCCCCTCTCACAGCAGTCTGCAGCTAGGAACCCCTCTCCTGAAGGCAAGTGGAGGAGGGGGCAGATCCCCTATAACTTTTAGCCTAGTGGTTAGAGCACATACCTGGGATGTGGTGTTATGGGAGAATTAAATTTGACATTACAGCCGTCAGCCATTTTGTGTGTCCAGCCACTGCTAGCTAAAAACCAAATACCACATAGCTAAAATAATTTTTAAAACCCTAAAAAGCAAAGCCAAATAGCTGCATGCCTGCAGTCTTACTAATCAAAATAAAAAAATATCAAAAAATCAATATACCTTAAAAATAAAAAAAATAAAAATCAGCAACCTTAATTTGAAATACCCCTAACATATACATTTTATTATTATTATAACTAAAATACTTTACTAATAAAAAATAAATAATTTGCTAAAACAAAAAAAAATTAGTAATCCAGTAGGGATTACTATAATAACTCATTAAAAATCACTATAAAGAATATACTTTATTTATATTAACTATAAAAAATGAAATAAAAATACACCTTAAAGCAATCCAAAAAATCTTTTCTTCAAGCCAAAAGCTAACACCTAAACTCCCCAGCAGCTGGACGGAAGGAGGGCCCCCGGAAGCCCGGCTGTTAATCTCTCAAAACCATCTCAAAGTTTAAGTAACTATAATATTTAAAGTGCTCTAAACCTGTTGCTATAACGTATATGTGTATGTGCTTAAAATCTATTTAAAAAGTAATTTGAAGTAAAAACACGCTTGTTTATACCAATCATATATCAAACAAAAATCCTTTATCCCTATTCATTTATTCCTAACCCCCCTAAAAAATTTTTAAATTGCCACTACCTTAAATTCAGAAAACCCTAAATAGTAGGTTCAGTTCCCCCTTTGCCAAATGAGAAGAAGGGAATTTGAACGAGGGGAGCTCCAGCTTCTCAGGAAGTGCCCTAATCACTGAGCTATGGGGTATTCTGATGTGGGGGCTCCCTCAGTCTCACCTTTGAAGTTTTGTCCCATGCTGGAAAAACAATTCAAGTGTCCTCTGGAGCCTCTAGGTCAGAGGTTCCCAAGCTGGGGGGCATGGAGGAATGTTTGGGGGTGTGTGGCTGGGGCCTGGGCCAGCCCCCATGGAGGGCGGGGAGGGAGAACCACCCAGCTTCTCTCCTGGCCCCAGCCCTGGCAGCTGTCCACCCCACACCTGCTGGCCCTACACCCCGGACTCTGCTCCCGGCCGCCCCAGCTGTTGACCCCATGTCT